GGTCAATTTTTAAAAGATTCCATGTGTGCTTAAGAATGTTTTCTCTAATGGGCATAAGTAGACCAAGTTTTTAACTGTACTACCCCATTCTTTCATATTCTTCATCAATGATCTAAGCCTCTACCATATGAACCTAAGACAAGGAGAGCAAATGGAACATAAAATAGGTAGAAGAAAGGAAATTTATAAGAATAAAAGGAGGAAAAGTCAATGAAAAAGAAAACAATAGAAAAAAATCAATGAATCCAAAAGTAGGTTTCTTTGGGGAAAATATCTGTAAAAACGATCAACTCTTAGCTAGTCTGATCAGGGGAAAAGAAAACACAAATGGCCCAGAGCAGGAATGAAAATGAACATCACCGCACAGTATACAGTGAATAATTTATGTAAATTGTTTTGATAACTTAGATGAAATTCTGCGACAAATCTATCTTTAAAAAAAATGACAAAGGGAGAAACAGAAAATCCAAAACCCTCTTTTTTTTTTTTTTTTTTTTTGAGACAGAGCCTCACTCTGTTGCAGTGGCGTGATCTCAGCTCACTGCAACCTCCACCTCCTGAGTTCAAGTGATTCTCCTGCCTCAGCCTCCAGAGTAGCTGGGATTACAGGCACGTGCCATCAAGCCCAGTTAATTTTTATATTTTTAATGGAGATGAGGTTTCACCATTGTTGGCCAGGTTGGTCTCAAACTCCTGACCTCAGGTGATCCAACCACCTCGGCCTCCCAAAGTGCTGGGATTACAAGTGTGAGTCACCACGCCCAGCCTCATGTCTATTTTTAAAAATCAAGTTCTCTTTTTTTTTTTTTTTTGAGACGGAGTCTTGCTCTGTCGCCCAGGCTGGAGTGCAGTGGCCGGATCTCAGCTCACTGCAAGCTCCACCTCCCGGGTTCACGCCATTCTCCTGCCTCAGCCTCCCGAGTAGCTGGGACTACAGGTGCCTGCCACCTCGCCCGGCTAGTTTTTTGTATTTTTAGTAGCGACGGGGTTTCACAGTGTTAGCCAGGATGGTCTCCATCTCCTGATCTCATGATGCGCGAAAAACCTAAGCAAAAGGAAAATGGCAGGCATAGATGGCTTCACCCATCAAATCTCTGTGAAACAAATAATGTCAATCCTATACAAACTATGGCAGACCTTGTTTCAGGAGGCCAACTTAATGCAGTACCAAACCATGACAGACACATCACATAACAAGAGCCCAGTGTCCTTCATGAGCATTCACACACAGGAGGTCCTCAGCCCGGTATGAGCAAATCTCATCCGGCCATGCAGAGAAAAGGCCAGTGTACCATCATCTGGCCATGCAGAGAAAAGGCCAGTGTGCCACGGCCACATGGACTTACCTGGAAATGCCAGGTCGTCTTGGCATACGAAAGTCAGCGTAGCTCGCCACAGTAATGTGGTGAGGAAGCGACCTCATGAATATCTCACTAGGTGCAGCAAAGGCAGTTGACCACATTCAACACGGATTCAGGAAAAGCCCTCAGCAAATGAGGAAGCTCTTCGCCTGTAAGTGCACCAGTGCAAACGCCACACCGAACTGGGAGAGACTGAGCCCATGTTTACCGAGATGGGGAGTAAGATAAGGACGTGCCAGCCCACCTCGCCAGTGCAGTGAGAAGCCGAGTCCCAGACTGCCAAGGGGAAGCAAAGCCACGCACGCACACGGAAACCCCGCGAGTCCACAGAAACACGCCATGGCCAAGACGGGAGTTTAGGGCACAGGATTAAAGCACCACACACAAGTGAGAAATGAAATAAAAATACACAGTCCTCAATAGCAGATCGAACACCTAGGACTAGATCTAAAGGAAAACGTGTCAGATGCATGCACAGAAGACTCCGGTCCATTGTTGGGAGAAGTTGAAGATGAACTCAGTGCCTGGAGTCACACACGGCAGTCAACGCGTGGAGACTGGAGACGGTTAAGATGCCGATTGGAGTCACACACGGCAGTCAACATGTGGACACCGCAGACTGTTAAAATGCCGATTGGAGTCATACATGGCAGTCAACATGTGGAGACTGGAGACTGTTAAGATGCCGATTCTTCCCCACGTGTATTCAAGACATTCAGAAAAGCTTTTCAAAAACGCCTTCAAGGGAATCGCTATTGAAATTCCAGGCTGCCTTTTTTGGTAGAAACGGAAAGCCTGATTGTAAAATGTATACGGAAACACCAAGCACACAAACAGCCATGAGAATCTTTAAAAGGAGGAGTTGGAAAATGCACATCACCTTGATTCAGGGTTTATTACAAACCCAACTGTAGCCAGGACAGTGTGGCGGCCGGGCACCGTGGCTCACACCCACAACCTGTAATCCCAGCAGTTTGGGAGGCTGAGACGGGAGGTTCATTTGCGCCCAGATCAAGATCTGCCTGGGGAACATAGTGAAACCCCATCTCTGCCAAAAAAATAATTAAGTAAATAAAATCAGCCGGGCGTGGTGGTGCTCGCTTGTGGTCCCAGCGACTCAGGAGACCGAGGCGGGAGGATTTTTTGAGCGTGGGAGGTCGAGGGTACAGTGAGCTGAGATCGCGCTACTGCACTCCAGCCTGAATGCCAGAGCAAGACCTTGTCTAAAGTGTGGCAATGGCAATAGCGTAAGGACAAACAGAAACAGATCCAAACTGGTAGGTCAGCTGATTTCTGACAAAGTCACCAAATTAGGGAAAAAAAGCCTATGCAGCAAATAATGCTGAAAGGTAAGGGAGAAATGGATCCTGACTGCAACCCACACTGGAAACGCAAACGCTCCTGAGTAGGGACTGGCTACACACACTGCACACACCCACACAACAGGCCGCCACGCAGCAATCAGGAGTCAGTCACTGATCCACACAAAAGCCTGGGTGAATCTCAGATGCTGAGTGAACGTAAGCAGACGCATGCACAGACGCACACTACCCAACACCACACACGTGGAACCCGTGGCAGGTGGGAGGCAGGGAGCTGCGGCGGTGGGAGTCAGAACGGGCACCCCTGGGGGGACTGGCTCTGCGGAGTGGAGGGCGTCACCTACGTCCTTCGTGAGTGCGCACCATGACCAGCCACACCCATGGAACTAACACTGGGCATCTGGGCTTTTTGTGTGTGTAACTGCCTCCCTCCAACACCACGGTCTCCCACATACGAAAGAGCCCATCATACAATAAGACATGCTACTCCGCAATTAGACATCACGAAACGCCAGCCAGGCTGTCCATAATCAAAAAGACCGAGCACCAAGTCTCAGCAATCCACTAGTGTTCTGCTTCCACCCAGCCGGGAGAAAGAGACAGTCCAACCACTTTGGAATCATCTCTATACTTGGACAGCACACATCGTTAAGATCCATTGGGTATGCCCAGAGCCGTTCTTCCCCCGCCCACACACACGAGTGTTCACCACAGCTATTTCCAAGTGGGTGTTCTTACCCAGAAAGGAAGCAACTCAAATATCCCCCACAATAAAGTGCATTAAAATCAGAGCACAGGACCGTCATGCAATGGAATACTATACAGCAATGAAAAGGAACACACTTCTGCTAGATGACAGGGCTGAGTCTCACCAACACACTGAATACAAGAACCAGATACCTTAAGGCTCTCAGGATAATGGGAAAAAAAGGAACCAGAATCCCCGCCCCCCATCAGCCACACACACAAGTAAACACAGTGTCATTTCATTTCTATGCAGTTCAAACAGCACAACCCAACTGTGTCCAAGTCAAGAAGTGCGCTCCGCTCCAGGGAACAGAGGACGACGAGCCGGGTGCGCTGCGGCGGCCACAGGGCCCTGGCAGTGTCTACTTCACTGGGCTGTGGGCCCCGCACTGCTCACTTCACCAAGCTGTGTGTGTGTTTCACACGCTTTTATGAACACGTGTTTTTTTTATACGACCATTTGGAAGTTAGAAGAAAATACAGTCACAGGTGCTGTCTCGGCGGGTGGCAGTAACAGAACTCAGGACACACCTGTCTCTCCTGCAGAGGGAGTCCCTTCTGCTGCTGACTCCAAAGAGGGCAAACTGAGCCACAGACCTCCACTACTCGCTGTGTCCTAGGCCCAGCCCCACCCCAGACCTTGCACCCTCGCCCCCAAGACTGTGAAGGCCCCAGGGCTGTGCTCTGCACACGGGTTCCTGACCTGGAGCACGGAGCCCCGATGGGACCAACGTGGAGATCCTGGCAGACAGTGCTTCTCTGGGCCTGAGGCCACATCTGAGTCAACAGTCACCCCAGTCCTGCCTGAGACGGACAGTGTGGCGGACATCGTGGGGAGGCCTGGCGAGGCTCCTGTGCTGAGGGGAGACACGGGCACTGCTGGGGCCGGCGCCACCGGGCCAGGCAGAAGGCCACCCTCCCCGGAGTCCACGTAGGAGCAGGCACTCACATGCCGCACCCTGGGGACCCTCCCACCCTGATGCGCCAACTCCCGACATGCTGCCTCTAGCCTTGACCTTTCTTAGAAATGACCGCTAAGCGGATGTTCGTGTTTGGCAGATCTCAACAGTCAAGCCAAGATCCAGCTGCAGCCAAAACACAATATGCCGGATGGAGCCTCTTCCAGGCTCAAACATGGGAACCGTGCTCGGACCCGGATGGGAGCAATAGCCAGCCCATCAGCTACAGTCAGCGGAAGGCCTCCGTGGCTGTCCCTACCCCCGTGAGATGGGGCATTTACACAGCACACTTAGGGACACGGAGGCCCTGCAGGTTCGTTGGGGTCTCCCCAGGCCCCTGAGCTGCAGAGGTGAGAGTTGAAAGACGCTGCCCCCAGGCCACAGTCTCTGACTGTCCACGGAACCACAGGCTCCTTTCTCTGCCATCTTCCCCTCAAGCTCAATTCCAGCGCTCTTGGCTTTCAATCAGGCCGGGCCGTCTCACGGGAAAAGGAGTCTGGCTGCAAAGGCCCGTGGGGCCCAGAGGGGAAGCTGGCTATGATGCGATCCCTTCACAAGCACTGGCTCCGGCCCGAGCCACCAGGACACTTAGTGGCCAGCTGACAAGCATGTGGTTTAAATACTGCACTATATTTTTTAAGGACTTTGTACATAGTATTTCCAGGGGCAGATGTGTAAGATTTTTTTATGTAAATCGTGTTGTTTAACAAGAAGACTGTCAGACCCGACAGCAGCTGGACATCGAGGTCCTCACTGGGGTGGTGACTGCCACGCTGACGCTGAGTGGAAGACAACCCCCTCAGTCAGAGCTGGGCCCATCTCAGACCCAGACGCGACCACCACCAAGTCCTGTGTTGTGACAGCAGCGGCTGCAGTCACCAGAAACAATCCTTCCTGCTGCGACACCTGTGCCGGCCCCAGTTACCCTCACGGCAGGCTGTCCACGGAAATGCCACGGCCAAGAGCCCAGGTCCTTCATGCTGGCCTCTTCCCTGCCGGGCCGGGTTCCCCGACGCCTTCAGAGTTCGTTGTGCCGAGCTCTGGAGATCCTGCTGGACAGGTCCTGGAGATGCTTCTTCACCTGCGGACAGAAACAACTCATCAGCTGGGGAAAGCGCACCTCGAGGCCGGCTCTGTGAGCTCAGCCTCACGTCAGGAGACGTGTGATCCAAAAGGAAAAGGCACAAACCCTGTGCATCTCCAATTCCACGCCCGTCCAGAAATGCTCAAATCACAAGAGCAGCTCAGTGCTAACTAGGAAATCCCACCAAAGAATGCTAAGAGCCGAAAGCTCAGGGTCTCTGGGATCAGCCCATAGTGTTATTTATTTACTTATGGATAGGGTCTTGCTCCGTCAGCCAGGCTGGAGTACAGTGGCATGATCTCAGGTCACTGAAATCTCTGCCTCCCAGGCTCAAGTGATCCTCCCATCTCAGCCTCCCATGTAGTTAGGACTACAGATGCCCACCACCATGCCCGGCTAATTTTTTGTGTTTTTGGTAAAGATGGGGTTCCACTATGTTGCCCAGGCTGGTCTTGAACTCCTAAGCTCAGATGATCCACCCACCCTGGCCTCCCAAAGTGCTGGGATTACAGGTGTGAGCCACCGCCCAGCCCCACGGTGTTGTTTTTAAAAGCAATGACCGGAGAGGCTGGGACAGGGCTGTGGGAAAGACGCCTTCCTCCTCAGGGCTACCTGGGAGGGAAAAAGAGAGACCTCCAGCTCCTCACATCACAATGGCCCAGAGCATCTCCACAGATACCACCCCAGTGGCAGCAGGTGCCGTGTCAGCCCAGCCTGGGCCAGGGTCACTGTAGCTCTCCCCAGATTCTCACAAAACCCTGCTCGTGGGTACCACCTCCTTCTCCACATAGGAGCCCGTGGCTCAGGGTGAATAACTCGCCGAAGGCCCCTCCTCTCAGCCGCCCTCTGACCTCCGCCCCAACGGTGTGGGTGCCTCAGGCAGCGCCACACGGCTTTCCTAACCAACACCGAGCTTTGCCACGGTCAGGTGAAACTAGGCGCACGCTAGCATTCCATCCCCGCATCTCGGGGGAGCACCCTGCAAACCCCCACATGGTGGTGCTCACCCTGGACCTGAGCTCCTGCCCACGGGCGGGGGCCGCAGGCTGCTCTCCTGCACGTTCTGCCAGGCAGACCCACACCACCCTCTCCTATCAGAACTTCTGCCTTGATTTATATTTTAGGCCTTTCCTGTTTTTGAATCGGTAACACCTGCCTGCAGCTCCAAGTTTAAAAGGCACAGATGGGGCTCCTGAACCCCAGTTCCCTCCAGAAAGAACTGGCATGAGCTTCCAGGATTTTCTGTGCCTCTGTGGCAAGGCCGTGCTGCTGGCTTCGGCTTCTCCTGGGATCTGCCCCTCCTCTCCTCACATCCCGGGGCTGTGGGGAAGGGGGCTCGCCTGTCTCGAGGGCTGGAAAGTGCCCTGACTTGTGGGCTGGCTGTGGGCATCCAGGTTATGCCCCATCCTGGTCATAGGAGAGGACGAGGCAGTGGCCTGCCAGGGCCTGCGCTCATACCTGAGGGTCGGGGGACTGCACTAGAAGCCCACGGAGCTCTTCTAGCGCGGCTGCTGTGGCCTGCAGTGCCCCACACATTTGTGGCTCTAGGGTTCAACTCGGACAGGGAAGACAACGGCGTGGGGCCCACACCCGGTCTACGGGAGGCCCTGAGCTGCACGTGGGCGGCCCCATCTTTTCTGCGGGGGAACTGTGGCCTCCCTAGTCCCCAAACCCGCACGCACCGTGTAGCCCAGCTCCTTGGTCCGCCCCTCCAGCAGGGCGTGCTTCTCACGGCTGCGGCTCACACGCTCGCCGTCACCCACGCTCTCTGCGTGCCTCAGCTTCTCGTGTGCGATCTCCAGCTGCTTCTGGTAGTGGTTGTGCTTCTCGATTTTGGCTTCGAAGTGCTTGAGCTCCTCCTGGAACAAGGTTTTTTGTTGTTCACTCACCACAGGTGAGTGCTCCCTCTCTGTGCTCGCCACACCATCTTGTGGTCCCGGGTGAACTGCAAGGACGCCAAGGGGACAGCGCCATACCCGGGGTGGGACATGGACAAAGAGGCGGCAGCTGGGAGGCCATCACACCAGCAGCAGGTCCCAGCCTGCGCCTCCTCGGCAGTCCTAAGCCGACCCCTTCCCTGTCTCTGCAAATGGCACCCCTTCCGAATCTGGGGGGCCTCCAGCTTGTTCCCGGCCAGACTCCATGTCCAGGGGTTGTGCTTCTGTGGTGGCTGCCTCTGCACCCTGCCCCCAGCCTGCCTGGGCTCCAGTTCTGCTGGACTGTAGCTCTGTCCCTGCTCCTGTAGGTGCCCTGCCCTGCCTTGATCCCACACTCCAGACCCAGGGCCCTCCATGTGGCCCCACCTGCCAAGCCCCATGCATATGCCTGCGCCCAGCTAAGGTGCCCTAGCCCCGGAGGAAAGCTCCTGACCCCTTTCTGGGGGAGGTGCTAAGGGCCCTTCCTGGGGCCAGGAAAGTCCCAAGCCCTATGAAGGCAGGACCACGCCCACCTCACTCACGACAGACACCAGCTGGGGACCTTGGGTGAACTCACGGCCTGATACCGTGCCTGGGACTGCCCACCCAGGGACCCCCTGCTGTACTCCTCACTCCTCAGAGCCTTGCTGGGGGCTCACCGAGCTGATTTCTCCACCCTCAGAATGATCTGGCATGCCACACGCCCCAGGAGCCCCCTGCCACCTGAGGTGGTCTCCTTCCCTCCCTGGGCCTCCATCTCAGGAAGCGGTGACATCCCCAAATGATCCCAGTAGTCCTTGGTCCCCTCCCCCAGACTGTGGCTGGTTCCTGACCAATTGCTGACCATCCACAGGACCCACACCAAGGCCACCTCAGACGTGAACACTGACAAAAGAACCAAAGCCCCTCCACAGCCCGGCCTCGCCCCTGAAACACGAGGTCCCACGCAGATGAGAAGGAAAACGCAAGCAGGTTGGCCGAGTGGTTAAGGAACAAACTGCAAGAGAATCTTCACCACACGAGAGCGCGCGGAAAGAGAGAGGGCTGCGTTCCCTTACCCGGAGCGCCTCCAGCTCCTTGTCGGTGAGGTTGGCGGACTGCGCCAGGTCCCACAGGTCAATCACCCTGGGCTCCTCGAACTCTGCAGGGGAGGAGCGAGAGCGGCCTCAGCGGCGCCTGGGGCGCACAACGCGGCCAGCCCCGCGGGAACCGCGCGGAGTGTGCATGGAGCCTATGAGGGTGTGCAGGCGCGACTTGCATGTGTGTGAAACATGCGTGCGTGCACTGAAAATCTCATGGGGCACAGAGGGCATCTGCTCGGTAGCTCACACAACCTCGCTGAAATGTGGCTTCCCTGTCCCCTCGGCCAAGCAACTGCTTCTCCTTTGTGTCCAGAAACACCTGCCTCCATCAGAGCCTGGGAAGCGCCACAGCCCACCCTGGCTGCCTCTGAAGCAGGTGGCGGAGGGTGGACGTGGCCCGCGTGCAGAGGCTGCTCAGGACCTCGGGTGCGGGGCGTGCAAGTTTAGCCAGGTCCAGAGGCAGGCACAGGCCGCTTCCCTTCGGGCTCCTGGGAAGAGCCAGACAAACGGAGTCGGCTCCCGGACCCTGGTGCTCACGAAGGGACGCGGTGAGAGATGCCGGGGCCGTCACCTCTCTCCATCCAGGAGCGGGCAGTCCAGAGCCGCCTGCCCAGGGGGCCCCACAACAGCGGCTCCTGCTCTCTCCTCTGCTGACCCCTTCCTGCTCAGGCCGTCCAGCCCTCACCACTACGGCCAAACGCCTACGGCTGACAGTCACCAGCACCAGGTCGGGCTAAGGGAGCCTGGGTTTGGGGGTGGGTGGTGAGGAGTCTTGCCCAAGGGCACACAGGTGACAGCCGCAGAGCCAACCGAGGGGCCCTGGGCCCACGTGGACACATTCAACTACTGTGCTGGAGGCTGCCTAAGGCCAGACCTTGCAGGTCCCATCCTGGAGAGGAGGCGGCGGCTCTGCCTGGCACCGGGGACAGAGACCGGCCCTGCTGTCTTATCACCATGAGGGCACAGATGCCACCTCCTGGCGGCTGCTGCCTCCTCGAGCCTACAGCAGGGCCCGGCACACAGCCGGCGCTCGGTGTGCACGTGGAGGATGAGGTACAGAATCGGAAACTGTGTGAGTGAGGCCGGCAGGCTTCTGGTAAACCCTGCACAAGGCTCTGTCCTGGGTCCTGGGCAAGTAGCAGCAGTGCCGAGCCTGGCCACTAAGGGCCTGCAGTGGAGTGAGACCAAGACCGAGCCGCTGAGATGGAGCCACAAGCTCTGTGGCCTCAGCGGGCGTCCTGCCCCTGCCGGGCTGAGAGGGACTGACAGACAGTGTGGGTGGCATGACACGGAGACAGAGCTGGGCTTGACAAGCAGTCTCTGTTCTTGACCAACAGCAGCAACGGAGGGGCTGTGCTGCTGGGGCTGGGGAGACGCTGGGAGGGGCTGCTCCCAGGCCGCCGCCGCCACTGCTCTCTGCCAGTCTCCCGCCGCCGCCACTGCTCTCTGCCAGTCTCCCGCCGCCGCCACTGCTCTCTGCCAGTCTCCCGCCGCCGCCACTGCTCTCTGCCAGTCTCCAGGAACAAGGCTGGGGACGGCCAGTGACCTTCACGGAGCAGCTCCTGGGAGCAGGGCCCGTGACCACCCCCGGGTAGACAGTGCACCGAGGGTCTTGGCTGTGTCCATAGGCCCAGGTGCCCATCGCTCTAAGCACCTGCCTGCTTGTCCCCAAAACACAACCAGAGACAGCCCGACCCTCAGGAACCGACAGTCCCAGGCGGGCACTCACCGGTCTCCGTGCTGTAGCCCTGGCGGCTGACCCTGCGCAGGCGCTCCAGGCCCTGGTTGATGCTGCGCAGCTTCTCCTTCAGCTCCGTGTGTCTGCTGTGCAGGACGTTGCCCTTGATGTCGCTGAGGTCCAAGGGGCTGATGACGTTCTCGTGGATTTCTGTAAAACCGAAGGCAGGACACCATGAGGCTGGGAGTCCGCGCCCGGCCCGCCTGGAGCACTGTCTGGAATGCCCACTGCTGGGGAGCTCAAACTCGCTCTCGTTTCTGGCCAAAAACGTCCCCGTTCTGCGGTCTTGCAGCGCCGCAGAAACGACCGTTGGCACAGCTTCCTTTTCAGGTGGGACAGGTGAGACGCCGGGACACACGCACCAAGCAGAGCCTGGCGGTGACGGCTGGGGCACCAGGTCCAGAGGGCGGACTGGTCAGCTGGGTCACCCTCCATTTTACTCCAACTTTGTAGGGTGGGAAAGGCACCCATTTGGGGAGGGTCACGAGTCCAGAATGAAGGGCCCATCAGCGAAGCACAGGTCTGGCAAAGGCGGCAGCTGTGCCCGTGGTGGGGGCAGGCACCAGTGAGACTCGGTTCATCCGATGCAGGCGGGTGACTCTCAGAGCCAGCCCCGCCTGCACAGCAACCTCCCGACTCACAAGTCCGGTAGAACCCTGGGAGAGGGCGTCCGGTGCCGCCTCCCCGCCCCTGCCGTGTCCTGGGGGGAGCCGAGGCTGTCCACTGAGCACAGTGAGCCCCAGGTGCAAGAGGGGCAGGGGGCAGGAGTGGGTGGGGGCAAGAGGAGCAGGGGGCAGGATGGGGTGGGGGCAGGGGGCACCTTCGGTCCTGCTCAGGGTCTCCAGCAGGACGTTGTACTCGTGAACTTTCTCTTTGTGATGCAGGAACTCCCGCCAGAGCTTGTCCAGTTCTTCGCTGGAGAATTTCCCAGAGGTCTTTGCCTAAGAGGGAAACAAGGCCTGGAGTGAAACCCGCCGTGGGCTCGTGTGGCTGGGGCCGCTCTTCAGCTGACTACTCCTCACGGCCCGGCGGGCCCTTGCCTATGTGAGTGTCGGGCCCGGTTCTTGGCCTCACGACCCTCCTGAGCCTCTATTAGGCTGGGTAGGGCAGGAAAACAAAAAACAAACCGGAGAAGAGCTGCCGGCAGGCAACCACCCTTCTCCTGGACGTGTCCAGGCTCAATGGGGGACGCTACTGAGCTGGCTGGGGTGGGGAGCGGAAGATCCCACCGAGGGGAACAGGGCAGCATCCCAGGGGCCCCGGACTTGCCTGGCTCTCCTGGCTGCGGGTGGTAAGGACACCAAGGCCATCTTCCTAGGGGGACCTCTGCCAGCCCGTTCATTGTCATCCTACCTGCCTCCCGGCTACGGGGTGACGTGGATCGCGCACACCCAGGGAGGCCACACAGGACCCTCCCTCCCTCTCTGCCCCCTTCTACCGACTCCATCTTTCCTGGCCACGGACAATCAGCTGCGACTGGGCTGGTACAAGAAGTCCAGCTGGCCCCAAATCAATGTGATCCAGAGAAACTGTTCTGGAGCAGCAGCCGCTGGAAATGGGGGAGCTGAAGCAGGTGAACACCCCGTCACAGCCCACCAGCCCTGCTGGGTCCCAGTGCCTGGCCCCGCACCAACACCCCACACCCTTCCCAGGCACAGGCTGAAAGCCCAGCCCCACACACGAGGGCACTTTTCTAATCACAGAAGCACGTTCACAGCACCACTCACTAAATTAAAAACCCGACACAGTGAAGAACTCAGCCTGTGCTATGTCACGATCCCGTAACCTCACATGACCAGAGCTGAAGGTCTGACAGCTGCAGGCCAAACAGTGCTCCTTTACTCAGAGCAAGGAATTTTCTGAACAGGAAAGCTGAAAATATTCACAGAAAGACAGTGGAATGGCTTCCTTAGGAAGCCACTGTCTTCCTGAGACTTCCCCAAACCCCAGCTCCCACGCAGAGCAGAGACTGCTCCCTCACAGCCCGACGAGACTGCTCCCTCAGTCCCCCGCCCTAACACTCAACACAACGGCACCAATTCTGCACGGTATGGAAACAGTCGAGGAGTACCTTGTGCCACAGCTTTTCCAGCCTGGGATCATCCAGCCCGTCTTCCTGGGTGCCACTAAGGGAGTTGCTGGCCACCTGCTGAGCGTCCTTCTTCCCGTCCAGACCATACTTGGCCAAGATGACTAGGAGAGAGGGGAGGTTCTATTTGATATGGTTTCCTGTGAAAAACAGTCAACAGCCAACATATCTGGGTTGCCACAGTCGGTGAGACAGGTTTGCCTCTCATTTTCCAGCAGTTTGCCTCTCATTTTCCAGCAGTTTCCTTTCACCAGTTTCCTGGATGACCACTGGAGATATGGCAAGAACAAGAATGTAAACAAGCGTGGGGGCTGTGGTCTCCCAGCGCTTAGAAATGGGTCCGGCGACTCACGGGACGCCCCCAGGACCTCCCTCTTTCCTACCAGGGACACGCTGGCTGCAGTCCTCCATCAGGCTGTGTCCCCTTGAGACGCAGCTGTCGGAAGCGGCTGGTGGGCTGGGCTGTACGAGTGGTAACCGATTGGCCCATCTTTCCAAACCAGTTGCACAGATTTTCAAAAACAAAATTTGCAGCCTCACCTGTTGCCGTACGGCAACAACTCTAAGGACCACAGGGCAGAGGCCACCTGCAGAGTGTGCAGGGTGATGCGGCTTTCTAACAGCCCACATCTTATTTTTATTGGAAGGAAAAACAGGTTGTAAAGAAGAAACGTCAGTGTCAGCAGCTTCTAACAAAAAGTTAGGGTAGCAGCCAGGAGGAGTAATTAGTCTGCAGTGTGCTGCGTGTGCTGCGGCCCAGTCACTCGGGGAGCCCTCCAGGATCTGCCCACGCGGTGCTCCCCTAGCCCCACTTCCCCAAGGGGTACTCAGCATCTGTGGGCTGTGTCTGTCACCACACACTGCCACCAACACGATATGAAAGCAGGCGCTCAAAGCAGGCCCTGGTGCTGACAGGACTCAGCTGTGGACAAGTCTGGCACTTGGGACATGAGAGCAGAGCCCAGGGGCTGGTCTCGGCCTCCACAGGCAGCGGCTCTCCCGAGGCCCCACTTCCCACTTCCAAGCCCTGCGCTGTGGCGCTGTGCGACAAGCCCTCTACTAGGTCTCCTGGAATCTGGGGCCAATGCAAACCCGCCTGCCTCCTTAGCTGGTGGTGGGCTTGCCTGCCCGCCCTTTCCTGGGGACTGGGGAATTATCCCAGGGCCCCCAGCTCCCACAGAATGGGGTCCTGCCTTCCCCTCCGGGCTGAGGGCCCCGTGTGGACCTCTCCCAAGACGCTGGACATGGAGCCTCCCTTCGCCTCACACTTCCGCTCACTCCGAGGACCTCTTCACCCAGGTGGTGACTCCCGGACCCCGGCGCCTCCTCTGGGCCTTCACCCGTGACCCTACTGGACAGAATCACTCCCAGCAGGGCCTCTGCATGCCCCAGGCTCAGCAGGTCCCATCCCCACACCTCTCCCAAAGGTCCATCCTCTGTCACTGCCAGCCCTGGGGAGTGTCCCTGCCCCAGGGACACGCCGGAAGCCTCAGGCCTCCTTTCTCATCACCACCACCCTGGCCTCAGATCCCTCCTGTCTCATTCCGTCCGGAAGCCTGGGTCATGGGGGTCTCAAGGCCACGCGCAGCATGTGCTCCTTGTGTTCCATCCTCTAAGCATGAAAATCCGGCCTGTGGTCTTGTCCCTGAGGAAAGCCGTCTCTGCTGACAGCAGTCAAGAGCTGCTGCTGCTGCTGGGCACGGGTCCTACAGACGCACGCTTCGAAGCTCAACATGCCGGGCCTGTCTTCCATGGCAGGGAATTTATACGTGAAGTAACTATTTTAGGCCGGGCGCGGTGGCTCATGCCTGTGATCCCAGCACTTTGGGGGGCCAAGGCAGGAGGGCCATCTGAACCCAGGAGTTTAAGACTGGCCGGGGCAGCGAAGTGAGACCCCGTCTTTTAAAACAAACAATTAAATAAATAATACTAGCTGTGGGGGAAGAGAAAATAAATGAAATAAATACATACATAAATACACAAAATTTTTTAAAAAGTGGCCTGGATGTTTCCTGGCCTTAGAAGCTGGTGCTGGGCCTGCCTGTGAAGGCCGTCCTGCCCAGCCCCCCGAGTCCAGCCACAGCAAGCAGCGCTGAGGTCACACCCCCGGGCTATGCACCCCGAGCCCGAGAGGAAGAGAGGGGAAGACAGTGAGGGTGGGCCACGTCCTGGGGCTCTGAGGCTAGCCTGGCCCGCGCCTTCCTAGTTGGAGCCAAAAGCTCTCAGCCAGAGCCCAAAGTGGCTGGTCAGACCCCACCAAAAGGCAGAATGCCCAAGGCTGCAATCAGCAGCAGGGACTATGGAAAGTTCTGGATTCTGGAGGTGCTGGGTTCTGCATGGAACGGAGTCACAGAGCACGGAAGCTGTAGGCGGCCTCAGGAGCATCCAGCCCTTAGAGCTCCTGGGGAGGACGAACACGGCCCCACACGCCCTGCATGTGGAGGACAGACGCCGCCCCACACTCCCTGCCTGGGGAGTGAAGTGGCCCTGGGGGCATGGTGGGGGTGAGGACAGCCGCGAACCCCAGAGCAGAGCAGAGCAGAGCGTGGCCTGTCTGTCTCAGGGCGGACCTCAGCATGGGCAGTGCCAAGGGCAGGCCCACAAGGTGTGCTGCCCAGGCACCTGGCTATGGCTGGTCCCCCAGGTGTGGTATCAGCCTTGACAATGGCACGGGGGACCTTGGGGGTCCAGGGGCCACATCCAGAAGATGGCGGGCAGCTGGCCAGGACGAGCCTCTCTCCTGAGTGTGGGGATGGTCTGCTCCTGGGACATCGGCTCCTAGAGTCCCACTAAGTCTTCTGCCAGGTCACTCGGCAATGGCAGAAAATAAGACAGCTCCACTTGGGCCACAGACCTGGACACCCTGCAAGGACACCGGCTGGCCCGCAGGAGGGAGCGGGTCCTTAGCCCACTTCTGTGCCCCCTGCAAGCTCCTCCGTCTCCTCCAGGCCCTGAATGCTGCCCTGCCGCACAGCCAGTCCCTTCTCCCTGCGGGGCACCTCCAGGACAGGCTCTTTCCTGGCCCTTGGGAATGGCCCTCTAGACACGCTGGTGGGGACGCAACCATCCAGAATTGTTTCAGCCATGTCTCCGCTCCCGCGTCTCCGCCCCCCAGGCAGCCCCTGCCGCCGCGTCTCCGCCCCCCAGGCAGCCCCTGCCGCTGCTGTCTCCGCTCCCCAGGCGGCCCCTGCCACTATGTCTTGGCTTATATCCCACCCAGACTCTTGAACATGGTGGCATAAACCAGCAAAAATGAAGCCAGCCTTTTGCCTTTAACCCAGGCGCAGTCACATGACACGTATGCTGATGTCTGCTGATGGGAGAAGAGGGGTGGCTGGGAACAGATCACCTGCTCAGGAGTCAGAAAACCCTGGCTCCAAATCTTTGCTGCACTACTCGGCTCTGCAACTCCAGACAAATT